TCCCTACTCCCTTTATTTACATTTGCAATAGATTCACAGAGCCACTGTCTCTGCTGACTTCCAGTGGATCTTAACCCAGCAAGATGCAGCAAGAGGAGAGGAACAGAGGCTTGGTGGGACTGTTCCATGTGCAAGATTTGGTAGTTTAACACAGAACCTGCAAAGCTCTTTCCTTCAGCACACGTGGTCAAGACAAACACAGTGCAGCAGCTGCATCACATGCAGAGGAAACTGAGAGTTTCCAGATGGTAAACACCAGAGCAGAGTCAGCAAATGTTTGAGGTGATGGCAAGCAGAGCTGCTTCTCTGCCCAGCTGAAGCTGAGTGTCCTGCAAGGTGGGGAGACCTCTGTCTGGAGGCAGGACACAGGGAACTGGTAGTGTTTTAACTCTGTTCAAGGCTGTGCCTTTTGGCTCAGCCTTCCTGATTTGGTGGGAGCTGGAGCTCCTCATGGAATGCCAGAGCTCTTTAGGCAGCAGTCACCAGCCCTGACTTTACAGGACCTTGAAAGTTGTGAGCTTTGAAAATTAGGAAGGATGGCTGATTCCCAAGTCATATTTTATTTCCATAAGAAGGGAACAATGAATAAAAGTAACATTCCCTGGGACTGGCAGCAGAGGCAGCATTTGTAAGGCTTTCTGAGAAGATATTTAGTCCAGCATACTGGGCTGGAGTTCAAGTACTGTGTGCTGTTCCTGGCTCTGACAGAGATTGCCTGTGACCTGTAACAAACCCCATCACCTCTGCTTGCCCTCCTGCCTTTTCTAGCACCATTCCTCAGAGAAGCACTTCAGTGCTGCACTGCTTCAAGTCTCAAACCAGCTCCTGCTCAGGCTGCTTCCTCCTAAGGCAGGGTTCAGTGTATTCATTTACAAAGGACAGACTGGACTGCCCTCAGACTTCACTGGCTAATCCCTGTTTAATGAGACTGATAAGTACAAATCATGTATATATATATATATTTATGCACACAGAGCTTTGTTTGCACATTATAATACAATAGCACTTGATGCTGAGGCAAGAGGAGCTCTGCATGCTTTGAAAATGAAAGCCATAGAAAGTGAATCTTGCATTGGGAAAAAACAAGCAGCCTGTTTGCTAGTGATCAGCTTTGTTGCCTGGGTACCAAGTACAGAAGCTCCTTTTTGCTTCCTGCCAGGAGCCTGTAAGTGTGTGCCGTATTTTATTTCAGTCCAGAGCCATTATGGCCATTTATTCATCTGCAGTGAAGTGCTCCATTTGCTGCATCACACAGACCCAGGCTGGCATCAGAGACAATCCTGCCTGCCTGTTGAGGGAACTCACCCAAGGCTGCCTCCAGGATCTTTCAAGGGAGGATTTGAATTCTTAAAAGCCTTATTGTCTTTGTAAGGCTCAGCAAATAGTGCTCCCTCCACCTACCTGCTTTTCTGCCAGCCTCTCAAAGAGTGCAGGGCTGTGCTGCCCAGCACTGGGATAGCTGAATTGTGGTGGAGAAACAGCAGCAGGTTCTGCTGACTGCTGGACTTGAGATTTTGCTAACCCTGAAAAGCTGTGGTGACTTGATGTAGTCTGGGGAGAAGACAAACTGGTGTCTGGAGACATCAGCAGATTCATTGTGCTTTAACACACTGATCAGCTGATCCTCAGGAAGCCAAAGCACTGCAGTTGCAAAGCAGAATATGTAAGCTTAGAGGACCTGGCACTTGGGCTAAGGACAGACACCTTTCTTCATTCTGGGAATTAACTCATTTGCTTTCTCATTCTGTATTTGCAAGTCAGAGGATGCATTCCTCAGCTCCCAGTCCCATAGACTCTTGCAGAATTAGGCTAAGTTCCATCCCCCCATCATCATGTCTAACAAAGTTGCATGACAAATGAGATCCCTGGAAAACACAGCTGCAAGCCCCAGTGCCCTTGAGGAGTTTCCACAGCCTTGACCATCTAGGATGACTAACTACATCCACCCAAAAGAGTAAAACCCCACGCATTCCTCTGGAGCTGCAGTGTGACCTCAGCCAAGTTGATAAGGAGGAAACAGCAATTCTTACTGATAGAAGCAGATCCTGAGACACACAAAAGGGAATTGATGGACACAGTAACATTTTCAGGCAATTGCTTTTCAGAACACTTATCACTCCTCAAAGCCACTGCAAAGGCTGCCCAACAGGCCATGAATTATCCCACTAGTACTGGTGAATATGGATTTTCCAGGGTAGCTCCAGACCCTTAAGTGAAGAAGCCTAGCAGTGAAAACCCAGCACTGCTCAGAAAGTCAAAATACTGGTAAATCTCAGCTTCTTCCCACCATGGCAAAGACCTGTGTGAACCAAAAGTGACATAACACCAAGAGCAGAAGCTGCTCTTGATTTTCACCAAAGTTCCTCACTGCAGACTCTGTTCCCTGAGGGTAGGGCTGGAAATAACCCTCCTCCCCAGTCAGTTCTCTAGAGAACAGCCACTCCAAAAATAGTGTCTTTCTATTTAGTGGCATCACCACTATCAAAGATGTTTAATTTGCTAATAAATTGTATCCAGTTGAGCACAGAAATACCCTTTGCTTGAACTAAAGAGAAGGCAGAACATCTGATATGGCCCTGAGACTGTGCAGGATAAGACCTTAATGGCCTGGAGTGGGATGCTAAGCCTGAGCATTCAGGTCTTTGTCTTCCATAAGTGGCTGCAGGAGTGATGGGAATACACCCTAGGCTATACCAATTACCCACCGAATCACCTCACAGTGGCAGCTCAGATGAGCTGCCAGGCTAGACAAGTGATATAGCTCCCTTTAAAAGTGAGAGCTTGTTTTGTTGTAGGTTTGTTCTTTTAAATCTTATACCAAAAGTCACACTTTCAGTGCTTAATAGCAGATCCAGAGACAAGAATTCACCAAATGGAAATAAAAGCCAGTGATTTCAAAAAGAATAAAAGCTCAAGTACAACTTGTATTTACAAATCAACTGGATCAATTAGCAGTTTTTAAACTGCCTTTATGTAGAACTGATCAGCAACTTCAAAATGGTTATTGGCAAAATCCTAAGCAATATCCATTTATACCAAGCCTTATGAATGTGGCTTCAAACACCATTACAGAAGTGCCAAAGCACTTAAATAGCTGCTTATAAATCAGCTTAAACATGTCAGTGACCATGAGCAAAGAGAAGACTGTGCTCCAGTTCTTGTTTGCCTACTGCAAGTTCTCCAAGGAAATTGAAAAAACTTGCACTGAATAGGCAAATCTACAACAAAAAGATACCAGGAAGTGACAAAACATTATTTGTTCTCTGCTCATCAATTTTGACTTACCCCTGTCCCCATTAAGTTACCACACAACACCTGGGGGAATCTCATCCTCTTTTAAACTAGCTGACAAGACAAAAGGCACATGCTGGAGCATGTTTTGCTTTGCTTCCCCTTCAGAGCCTTTCCTCAGAAATCACCATGCCAGTGCTGGTGCACAACTGCACTGCTGGGACTCACCCAAAGCATCTTGCCAAGCAGCTTTAGTTTCCTCTCTGAATTTGTTTGACAAGAGGCATCTTGACTCTCAGAAGGGGCTTCACCTCCTGCAAAACCTTTCATTAGTTAGCACTACAGCACTACAAGACTGAGTCTTCCTCCCTTTTTGCTTCTGACACTCATCCATTGAACTTCCTGCTTCTATCTCCATGGGTTGCTCAAGAACTTGAACTTACCCTTGGAATACAAAACAAGGCTTTCTACAGAATCAATACACCTATTACATCAGTCCTTTTCAGCTAGCTGCAAAGCATCACTCTGAACTGTTTGTTCCCACTCCATTCATTACCACTGCCATTCCCACTGGGTTTACTGTGTGCCACACTACATTAAATGAAGCCTTTGGAAGCCTGGAGAAGTTACCTGGCTGGTCACACTGGCACACCAGACGAAATACTTGTAGTAAAATTCAATACATGCTGCTAACTCTTACCTTTGTTTTGAGGGCAGTTAACAGGGCAGGGACAGCAAAGTGCTTCAAACCCTTCCCAACTCTAAAGCTGTAGACTTAAAAACAGATGCACTGAGCCTGTATCTCAGCCTGCCTTTGCAGGCAGGCAAGGAAGTACTTCCAACATGGATTATGGCCAGAAACAGCATCTATTTTATCCTGCAGCTATAACAAAGACTTAAGAATATCAACTACAATGTGTTTAAGTGCTTTATATTTATTATAAAGTATTAATAATTGAATGTATGGAAAATGATTCTCTATCCAAGAGAATAAAATGAGAGCTTTTACAAGTTATGCTATACAGTACATGAAATGCTGCACATTTTTCAGCTGCTTGAAACAGGATTTGCTATACAAGTCAAAAAGGGTAGACTTAGAAGTTTATTTATAATACACTGTGTTAGAAAGCACAAACAAGTAACATTCAAAATAAACAAGCTCCCAAAAATCTAAAGAAATCTTTTGATGACATGTACACAGATTATACTCAAGTTTCAATATACATTTTATTGTTCCCCACAATATGCTCCACTCTTCTGGATTGCTGGAACATGATGAGAATTGAAGGTGCAGAAAAGCACCTCCCAAGCCACATAAGCACTGGATGGGCAGAGCAGCGATTTCCTGAAGTGTTCTCCACAGTCTTTGGCTCTATTTCTTACAGCCATACACTGTGGCAACACGAGAAGAGATGATGGGCTTCAATTACCAGTACTGCCCATGCCAATCCAGATATCTGGGGAGCTGCTAGAGCAATTCAAGGCACTCTTCCCAGTGCTGCCAGCCCACGGAACCCCCTCTGTGCAGGACACAGCATTTTATGAGACAACCAGGCTGGGCTAAAGCATGTTCTTGAAGGACATGGAATGAACAGTTCAAGACAAACTCCTTCAGAATGTCCAGTTCACAGTTCATTCGAACTTCCCTTCCGAGGCACACCAGCTTAAGAGAAACATTCAGGTATGTGTCAGTACACTTTAAAGCACGTTGCTTCCATGTGTTTAGTTGCTTCTGGTTAAAGTGGTGTAACATATCAGCAGCTTTGAAGATAGTGTTCATGGGGCATGTTGAACCTAACCTCACAGTAAGCTTTTCAGCCTACTTCACAGTTTAACAGTTGTCTCCTTCCCTTTTCCTTCTCTTTAAGAGGCAGTTTCTACAATGAATCACCTTTTGCAACTGTTCTGCTTACAATACACAAACCATAATGCCAACACCCCCCAGAAATGTACTCACAGTAAGTTTGCTCTGATGCATGTGGTATTGACACTTAATTGTAAGCTTCTCCCATAATATAAAATAGCTTCTAGATTGAAAAGACTCAAAGATATTGCACTGTTGTATTTTAATTTTGCCTCCCAATCTCATTCCAAGTATTTACGAAACTGTAAACAAGTCATTTTTATACAGTCTTCAGTACTGTACACCTGCATTCCCAGGGACTGGAATTCAGTGACACCTTCGTTAGAGATACAGTAGCCTAAGCACAGTGAAAGTTCTGTCCAGCTGCCCTCTTCACACAGTAACCAACAGGCCACTCCTCCCACACTCACACCTCCAGCTTCCTCTTCTGTTCAAAGTAGGCATCAAATCTGGATGACGCATATTCCTGGAGAAATAAAGGACATTCAGTACTCAATGCAATAAACAGCTGAGTTTTATTTGGGATGGGGAAGCATAATGAAGGTATTAACTGTGTTACTCTCCTAATCCATCATCTCAATGCATTAATTAGCTCTATTTGGGAGGGATAATCTTCTCCAGAGGTGTTCTGGCCTCTTAAAACTTCCTCCAATCTTATTTCAACTCTAACATAATTAGCTGCTGCCAATGTGTCAAAAAAAAAAGGGTACTAAAAAGGTCAAGATCTCACTGAAAAAGCTGCTCCTGCAACACTTCCTGCAAGATATTCAGCACACCTGGCAGGTGGATCACTTTACAGGATACTCATGGAGAGTTAGAATGATCAGTTTCTCAAGTACAAGCAGCTACCTGGCACGGATATTGTTGCACATTGAACATCAACATCTTGTTACATGTGCCCTTTGACTACTCGGTTTCAAATTCACACTTTGGGCATGTTAGCTTCCCTCTTGCATGGAATGTCTTATTGCAGAAGAATGTGTCACTGCAAGGCACCATCCCACTGCAAGGACTGACAAGGCTACAGACTCTCTACATAACAATAGGAAGAAGTTTTTAGGATCTTAGATGTTCTTTGCATTCTTAAGGAAAGAGCACAAACAAGTAACAAGCTGATTTTTACAAGCTCTACTCCACTTAGAAGGTATCAGTTGCTGTGAGAGGCCATTTCATTTACTTTCTGATTGTGTACCACAGGTTGAAGATTATTGATTTTTAAACTGTGTCAAACTACAATTAGAGAACTTACCAGGTAACCAAACTCAATGGATGAGATCTTTGCTTGTATAATAGACCACAGACCCCAGAAGAAGTGTGATGCAAGGGCAAACCTGAAATTACAGGGCTATGTTTATTAAACTGCACAGCTAGGACACAACACTTCATTTCAATGTCCTGTGAGAACAGTATTCCCTAGCCTGGGGATGTCCACACCACTTCAAGTATGAAACAGTATTTCATACCTGAAGAAATGGTGTATTTATACACACACACCATGTAATGTTTCATAGTTGAATAATAAATTTCATACTGGAGTGGAAAATAATTCCAGTAGCTTCCCCATGAGCAGCATTTTCTTTACTCCACTATTACTGTATACCACCTATCTAAAGGTTACAATGGGCAATTTTTTCTTTACCACATATAAACAGCTTACAGTGTCTCTCTACTCTGGTTTCCCTGCCCAGGGAGGTAAGTACAGGTACCAGAGTGGAAGTCTCAAGACAGTTGTGAAAGACAAGTTACCTGTTAACTTCTATCAACACTTCTTCTTCTAGTTTGGACTTCTCTTCATTGCTCAGATTTTCAAAGCCATCATGAAATGCAGACAGGTAACTGGAGATAAAATGAAGCTGGAAGGCAAGTAAACAACAGAGTTACAGCTTTTCCTCTCAAGAGATTTGCTTTTTTCAGACCTAGGCAGACCATGTAATAAGGTGGCATTTATTTTTTTTCCAAACACTGACAGTGCTGGAGTTTGCTTTAAAATTAACAGTGGTACTAATAATAGCTTGGAAGTCTGGTTTAAGAAAAGCCACAGTATTAGGAGAACAGGCAACATGTTACTGCCAGCTAATTTCACAGCTGCAGTCCACAACTGCTGGACATGGCACACAGTGAATATCCTATCTGAACAGCTATTATGAAGTTGCTATGATTTTTAAAGCATAGTCAGGATTACAGGGAGTGTTACACTTAAGGAAGTCATGGAGGAAAGATCTGATCCTGGAATACACTAAGTCCAAAGAGAACTGGAAAAGAGATAAGATTTGAAGACTGTGGGCACTTTGGCATTTTGTTAATTGTGTCTTATATGTCTACCTGTTGTTTCTTTGAAGGGTATTTAAGAGCACTGGCTTTGAAAAACGGGTACTTCTCATATGTGTAATCATACATCCACTCACAGAAGTGATTTCCAATGTCAAATCCTCTGAAAAAGAAAGAGACAGAAGTACCTCAGTATTTGCAAACTACCGATTCATTTTTGCTTAAACAAACCTCAAATCAAGTTTAACAGCACAAGGATACTTAGAATTTTCTCCAATTTTGCTAAAGCAAGTAGAAAATTTTGCAAGTTATTAAAATCAAAGAGTAAAGCTGAGCAGTTAAGAATGAAAACTACATCAGCTCCAGGAAATTACTAGACTTTGTAGCCAAATTTTACACTAATGGAGACAATAAAAATAGTTGAGTATGCACTAGATCTCAGCATGAAATCAGACACATCTCTAGTATTGCCATTATCACAGGCAAAGAAATCATATTCAAAGCATTCAACATATCCAACACTTTTGCTTTACTGAAGTTCAGTGTTTCCTTATGTTCCAGCTATGGAAATGTTCAATGATCCCAGTGACTCCACACACTTAGATCATCCTTAAGCACAGCTAACTTGATGACTGAGGGAAGAACAAAGCATGTTTTGTAACCACACAGAGAAAACCCTCAGATGACTCTCCTGTGCAGAAATGAGAAAGCCATTAAGACAGGACAGAAGCAAAAACACACAAAGGCAAAGCTGCCCCACATACAGATGTACACACAGTCTTACCTTCTCAGCTCCCCACTGGAAAGAAATTTTGACATGCAAGCAAGCAGCAACTGTGCACAAACAAGCCCTCTAGTCTGGACAACCAAGGAGCTACAACAACTTTGACTCTGCTGTGTGCCTATACTCGATGGCGTCAGGCCCAGAGCTGTTTTGACTAGTTGTATTTGCTGCCCACCACTAACAGAGCAGAACACAATTCACTAGAGCAGACAATCAGCAGTGCAGCACTTG